ATATAAAAATCTACCAATTCACAAAAAATCCCCTAGAAATAGATTTTAATCACCGTTATCATTACATAATGACAAACCTTTTTAAATGCTTCACCTTCCAGTGGCAGTGCCACCAGAGAAATTAAGTTGCACTCATGTATTATAACTATCAAACTGTATAACAGGAGGTCTTGTGCATTTCAAGTTTGCAAGGCCCCTGTGTACTTAAACTATGTATGGAGACCTACTGTACAGTAGCTTTGCCCCTTTAATTGGGGTACATTATTAATCTTATGGTATTTATCCACCCAACTCTAGACAGAGATATTGCTCCAAGGGGCCTTAGGTAGCTGCCAGTAAATTATTTTCATTGCTGTCTTGAAGTTAACAAGTGTTATAATGAAATAATCTATCTGATGCTAAATAAAGGCTTTAGAATGTTAAAAAAAAAAGTGTGATCTTTTAAACTTTCAAATGTACTAACGTTGCCACTTCATAGTATTCCCTGAATTTTCAATAACGTCCTGACAAAGAAGTCCTTGTGGTGCTGCAGTCCCCAGGGTCAGAGAATCGGCTGCTGGTGCGCACAGTGGTGAGCCGGCGGCTGGCACTTAGTAGGCACTCTGGGGGGGAACACAGTATTATAACGAGGTGCGACTCTTCCTTTGGCGAGAACGCCAGAGAATTATCGAATGGGAATGCCTGGCTAGAAAAGCTAGAGTGAGATTTTTTTTTTTAAATGATACATACACGAGTTGGAAAATACTATTATGTCACAAATCTGAAAAAATGTAAGGGCTGTTGTATTCAGTTGTTTGTATACCTCCTGATTTACAAAATAAGAATACAAGGTTCTTTGCTTGCATGCAGTTTATTGATCCATTATGCTTGGTGGCAGACTCGACCTTGAAAGTTGACTCAGACAGCCTCCTATTCAGCATCTGTTAGAAATAGTGTAAGTAGCGAATTATTTAAATTTAATCATGGAACTGAGCATGTGAAATGAGTAGAAGATCAGAAATGCAAGGTATAACCAACCTTCTGCTCTCCATTACTAAGCTCTTGACCTAATCAGCTACCTCTGCATTTGCACTAAAACACCTAGCAGTTCATGCTGAAAACAGCCATTTTGACAATTCCATTAAAAGTCTAAAAAAGGGACAAATGGAAATAGCCTTAACAGATTTTGGTAACTGAGAGCTCTCACCGTATAATAACTGTAGTACTTACCCTGTCTGGGAATGAAGTCTCGCTTTTGTCCATCAGAGGTTCAGCTTCAAATTCCCAGATTGTTTTAAGTAACAACTCATTGGTATGTAGTTATAACACCTGTATTACATCCTCTGAACTTGTCTCCCTGCTTCTAGTGACCCCGATTTGAAATTCTTTCCCACAGAGCAGCCAGCAGAGGATCATTCTTCTGGTTTCTCATTCAATCCAAATCTCCTTTCCTGGTAGGCAGGGTCCCTGAATTATAGTCCCTCGTCACCTCTCCAGCTTCTGTATACGTACCCCTCCCCCAACTCATTTTGTCCTGCTTGCTGTGTCTCTATTTCCCATGCTCTTTCCTGCACTAGGACTCTGTGGACTCTTTGCAAGGCTGGCTCCTCTCATTCACAGGGATCAGTTTATATCTGAGCCTAATAGAGGAGCACCTGTATCTGTGCCTTGTTTTTTCATAGGACTTGACACATTGCAATTTACTTTTTGGTGCTCTTCCTCCACTAAGGCATAGGCTCCATGGTTTGCTCACTTTACTGTACACGTAGGGAGGAGGGGCTAGCACTGGCATTAAGTACTGGTTGAATGAAAAATTTTAAAATGACAGAACTGTCTTATCTACGTTTAATTGCACTCTTTAATGTGTTTCCAATCTATCCATTCTACTGTAAATATTCACTCTTAATATCGAGCAAACTCTTACTACACTGACTGGGTATTCCATATAGAATTTCTTATCTCATACCTTGCTCTCCAGTTGTTCCCAGCTCTTATGGCTTGTCTCTGCACTTCCCTACCCCTTAAACATGATGGATTATAAATTCCCATATAAAAGACTGTCCCTTAAAAAAAAATCCATCCCCTTTTTGGCATCTTCCATGGGGGCTACTACAGAAGCAGGGATTCAAAGGTGACTGGGCTGATCGGTTCTTGTACCAGGCACCAAGTCCTTGGGGTGAGTCATTATGGTGTAGTCACTGTGTGCATTTATTAATAACTGGTGGTAGGGAAGCTGGAGACAATCTCACCAAGTTAGAGTATACTCCAAGTCACTGCACGTCTCGATTCAATTTAATTTTTAAAATATCTTAGTCCCCAGGCCAACAAATCAAAATACTGAAACACAAGTGTGTTAAGGCCCACGTATGGTAGGGAAATTTACCTGCCAGTTTTATGTTTCTGCTCTGCGAACACTGGCAGAAGTCACGGTTATTTCTCCAGCAATACCGTAACTTCCAAAGGGAGTACGTTTGTCACCAGATCCTGAACCTTTTTTGGCTATATCTTCCATTGGGAAAGCAACAGAGAAAAAAACCGGGCTTTGTGGCCTGGGGCCATCTTGTCCACTTGTAGGAGGACTAACATTCTGGGGGTTGGGGATGTGTTTCTGGAATTTCTGATCTGCAGGAACGGCAATGGGCACTTGGACTGCAGCGTATCTCTTCAAGGTGTCTGACTGGGAAACAACAGCATGTCCAGGAAGGGATTTCCAGTCCTGTGTTTCCTGAACATTTGAGCCTACTAGTATAAAAGGTGGGGCACTGGTCTTCTTGCTGTCGTCCATCATCACATAAGCTGGAGAAGTAACCTTCGGTGAATTCTGTAGATCCTTAGGATTAGATAAATAGAGGGTTGCTTGGGGGAAAGGCCCAGGTGCAGGTGGCGGTAATGGGCGACTTTGTTGATTCATATCAGTTAGACAGTAAAGGGTCCACGTGTTAGAATATGGTGGTGGTTGTCCTGCTTCGCTTGTTGCTATTGCTATAAAAAAAAAATTTGCAGGTGTTAAAGGTTTGGTCTCTGTATCAGGCGCTATGCACAGAAATATCTTTGTAAATTTTTTTTACATATAAAGAAAGTTGTAGTAATATGTGCCATAAAGCATGCTATAGAGAGGGCTTAAGTATAAGTTATGTTTGGTAATGTGAAAGAAGAGAGATTCTCTACAGTTGGAAAACGAGAACAGTGCTGTGATAGTGCATGGTAGGGACATGAATTGTGGCTAAAGACACAATCTCACTCTAAGTTGCTGTTTCCAGATGCTTGTACTGTGTGTTAAGCCATTGAAAAAAGCGTTTATGGTACACCTGCATAGTGATTTTTTCTTTACTAAAGAAGTCTGCACTAGGTGTCATCTTCTGATCACATAATCAAGTATCTTCGGCTCTTCACAGGCACCATTATCTCCCATTGGTTAGTTACCACCCAGTCTTGGACTCAGAACCCCAGAGCAGCACCCCTTTTAAGCAAGGCTTGAAATCCTAGGTCCTAGGTGGCAGTAACAGTCTGGTTGGCCCCCTGGGGTTCTTCAAGAAAAGAGAAGGCTAGGCATGTCGTGCATCTACTTCCACCAAGGACTCTATGATGTCAAGTTTGATTTGCCTAATGAAAACAGCACTGCCTTGGAGCACTGGTTCCTAGAAGACGGACGGAGCAGAAAGGTTCCTGATGGAAGAGCTGTGCGGGGCCCAGGTGTGCGGGGCTCAGCCCTGACCTCTGCGCCCTCTATCCCTAGTGCAGCTGCTCTTCCCCAGAAAAGAAAATACCACCAACGTGCACATGGTCAAGCTCGTGTGTTTTCAATAGCATCGGATATTTTTCATTGATATTCCTTGAAGCTAATGTAAAGATATGCATAAGCCAAGTCTTCAGTGTTTTTGTTAAATAACATTTGGTGCTTACATGAGACGCAGTTAAGCAGCTGAGAACAGTACTTGGTTAGAGAAATGCTGCTCTAGCCACAAGTGCCACGCCAGTCCCACACACGGCACTCCCAGCACTGGCCTCTGCCTTTTCAGCTGTGCAGAATCCCTGCCACACTGCCAGACAGGACTTCATCTCTCAACACCTGCTTTGCGAACATTTATCGTTCTGGCTCTGGTAAGAGTCCAAGGTGAGAGATTCTGCAAGAGGAGCGCGGAGAGCTTGGGTCCTGTGTGCCCTAAAGGGAGAGGGCCCTGCACTTGTCTAGCAGGGGCCGGAGGGTGAGCAGACCAAATGCCATCATTAGGTACAGATGGAGGTCCAATCACGTCTGTGTCACAGGAAAGCAATGACAATAGTTCACAGCAGTCAAGGAAGCAGCTGGATATGGACATTTGTAAGGAAACTGATAGAAGGAAGCCAGTCGTTTTAGCTGTGTCCATATTGCTCAAGTGCCTGCCTGTCCTTTCTGCTGTTGCTACCTCCCTGCTCACCTGTGTGACAGCACTTGACCCTGACCTGTTTTCTCTCCATCCGGCTCTGAAGCTGCCCCCTCGGCTGCGGACGCTCCCAGGCGAGAAATCCGCGCTTGCCCAAGCTCCCCACACCCGGTTGCAGAGCTCTCCTGCCTCCGTGCGAAAGCAGGTCGAACACACCACCATTTCTTTCACTTTCTGAATGCCACGGCCTAGGTAAATGCATTGCTGTGGTTGGATTTTACTTTCACAAGTGAGACATTTCTAATCCACACCTCCTAAAATTAGTTTTTCAACAGGCGTATTCAGATCATATGACTATGTTTGTAACCGACATCAGGCTCTGATGTTTCTCACTACGTAATACGTACAAAGAAAAACACGAATGTGCTAGATGACCAAACTTGGAGGCCAAGTTTTGATGTCACTTTAAAATCACTCATAAGAGTAAAATCGCAAATACAGCAAAACCTTTAAATAGGTGTGGCATTTTCAAAACTATTAAAAATAAAGAGTTTTGACCAATCTGCAGGGGGCCTACCTAGACGGTTACCTAAAATACAGATGTTACCTGAAATGTAATTTTTAATTTTAAAAGTATCTAATTTCCTTACCTGGTTCCATCAAACCTTGTTCAGGTGCTGCTTCTCATTTTGGTTCGATTTCTGGTTCAGTAAGACCTTCTGGCACAGGCTGGGGGGGGCCACTAGATGATCTTACAGATGTGCCTGAGTGCACAGCTTCCCCGGAGACCACAGCTTTGGTCTCCATCTCCTGGGATGCAAGGTTTTCCTCCTGCCCAGAGACTAGCGCAATGATCTCCACTTCAAGGCGCAGAGATTTTTCAGAGCCTACGGCTTTGGTAGAGCCCTCTACATCCAGGGATTGTGCAAGCAGACCTTTCAAAGAGGTTTCAGAGATCAGAACGGTTGCTTCTGCCTCCATATGTACTGAGGGATAGTTTGCATCCTCCAGCCGTGCTAATGTTGTAGAACCTACAGATATTTCAGACACGCCTGCGGCTGTCTTGTTTACACATACGGGACTACCTGATGGTGGCAGCTCAGTCCCTTTAAGACTAGCAGCATGATCAGTAAAAGGGATAACTATTTGTTCTGGTGGTTGTTGGACATAAGCAACTCCTTCAATCACAGGCTCATCTTTATAGATAGATGATATGTGAACAGTTGATGTAACCCCAGTACCAGCCTGCAAAGGGACCTTAGGAGCTTGATCACAAGCAGGAGGTTCTTGTTCATCCTGCAAGGGGAGTGAGGAAGCCGTTGAGGGTTCAGCCTCACTGTCTTTACGTTTAGAACACAAACCTACAAGGAAAGAGGCGTTGCTTACAACCTGCATTGCTCCCCCCTCTCCAGAACACACCAAAGCAGCAGCCGCCACGTTATCTTCAGCAGCCTCTGAACTCAGCACCTCGTTGGAGACAACGGGCATACTTGTTGCCACGTCCACCATTAAAACGTCAGACTGATCAGAATGAATAGATGAAACTTTACCTAACATCTGAGCAGCAAACTGAGCTGGGTCAGCTGGGACATAGGCAAACTCTGGTGAGACAGCTGCTGGACATGGTGATGAGGGCGGGGTAGGAATCTCCGGGCTGGATGGTTTTGAAGGACCACGAACTGCTTTAGTCATCTCCTCAGGCTCAGCGTGAACTGATGGGAACTGAGTGGTTTTGTTGCTAAAGAGCGATCCAGTTACATTGTCCTCCTCTGTGTTCGTAGATTTTTCCATCCTCGTAGGTTCCTGGGAAACTATAGATGGTCCTCTTTGTTCTTTTGCACATTCTGGTTTCTTCTCTTGTGTCGTTCCTTCAGACCACTTCTCAACTAAAATAAGAACCAGATGATTAATAAACATATTCCCCAAATTTTAAAGAAAGCAGCACTAGGTTAAAAATTCAAATGCCAATACTATATACGTAAGTACAAAAAAGTTTTGCTTTATTTTCCAACATCTGTGATTTAATGAGGATAATGAAACTTTTTTGTCCTTTCCACTTAAAAGTCACCTTCCTCAGTTCATCTCCTTAAAAATATGTGACTCCAAGTAGCACAGTGACAAGACTAATTAGATACTACTTTCTGCTGGCCAACACCAAAGGAAACACCCTAACTCCACCTAAAAGTGAGGAAGCTGAAAACATCCAGGGAAAAAGCTGCTGATTCAAACTTCCACACAGTCTATTGAAGGGGGGAGGGGAAGAGACTTCAACCTGGCCCATAAACATATAATCTTTATCTAGTATCATAGTAATGAGACAAATGCTGTCATATTAATAAAGGCATTCCTCAATTTAAGGAAATGTGTATAAAAGTTTAATAATGAATTGGAAAACTAGGACTACAGGATATTTTTATATTAGGAAACATCATATATTTCAACAGAAAGATGGTAGCACCTGCTGGTGAGGTGGGATAATGCAGCCAAAGTCCTACAGACCCAGATGAAAAGCAGTAAAGAGATTTCTGGATCCGTGTGTGTGGACCTAGTGAATCCTCAGATATGAAGAAAATTCCACGGAAGGTCAAGATGGCTGATGACAAAGAAACTCCTGGGGCTAGAAAACTAAAATCATTTTCTGATTGTCGCCCACACAGCTAAGGTCCAACCACCTCAGCTGTAAGTCATCATTTTCATATCTGCTTGTTTTACTGAGGATTTTCTTTTGGGAAAGCATTTCCCTAATATTATAATGACATCTGCAGGAAAAGTAGAATTTGCTTCACAGGAATCTGTTTGCTTCAAGTCAGAACTTTGGAGACATTTTCATAGGCTCAGCTGCTTCCCAAAGAACATTGTCTTACAGTGTCTCCTTCCACAATGGCTGCTGGTTTCCTGTAAACTCAAGTCAGGTGTCTTAATTCTGGGCATGGAAACCACACTGAATGCTCATGTACAGATAAAGAAAAGGTACATCTACTCTGAACTACCCCTCTGCTAAGAACAGGAAACTCATTTCCCTAACCCTTCACCTAATAATGGTCCTAATAAAAATCTTTGGACATTCAGAGGAGGAAAAGAGCTCCTCTGGCTGGATGAATGCAGGAAATTTTATTTAAATAAGTCTAGTCTTAACACTTAAGCCATATATAGAAAGCTGCAGAAGCATGGTAGCAAGGCAAAGCCAGATAAATCTCACAATAACTTCTCTTGAGCCCATGAGAGAGGAAGAGTCGCAAAGCAATCTCTTGATAAAGAGCAACCAGCCCCTCTGTTAGGTAGCAGCTAGGAATGAGTGGCGAGAGGGGAAATGGGGAAATAAAGGCAGGGCCCTTGTCATTCCAAACTAACAAAGAACTAAATATGGGGGGCTAGGAGCAAAAGGGAGACATGGCTCACCCATGGACTCAGCAGGCCTGAGCTTGGTTTGGTAAGACTGCCAGGTGTCCTGAGCATCACGAGCGAAAATAGCGCCAGACAAAGGAGAGTCCTTGAGACCGTGCTGAGAAAAGGGGGGCTTCTGTAACAATCTCACTAAGATTGCCGAGTGTCCTGAGCATCACAAGTAGGGACTGCACAGGAGGAAAAGGGGGGCCTATGCTGGGGAAGGGGGACTCTGTAACAATTTCACTAAGACAAAGCCTTTACTACCTGAGAAAGCAAGCCTTTGTAGCTCTACAATGTTCCCAAGATTTAGAAGGGGGAGAAGGAGTGGGAACCTTCTGACTAAGCTAAGGTATGTAACCCCTAAACCCCAATAGTCAGCATACTTAGATTAGCTAAGTACCCACTTGCAGCCTCAGCTCAAGTGTACAAAATACACAACGAACAAACTTATCAACCACTTTCCTCTATACATGGGCCATTTAGACTAGGTGAGTGCCTGCTTGCAGCTTTGTGCTTGTCTGTGTTTCAAAAATAAACTTGCTATCACATTTCCAGTATACGTGTTTTCTCATATGAATTCGTCGCATGAGTAAGACAAGAACCGAAGGGACTGCAAGGGGCCTCCCGACTTGGGTCTCTCTCCTGCCTCCATAACACCTTCAAGGAAAGAAAGGGCACACGACTCTTGTCTGTGGCTGGGCCTGGGACCACGGCCACAGCAGCTGGTAAGGTATCAACTAGAATCTTAGTGCTGGTAAAGGCCAAGTGTCAGCCTGGGGGAGCCTGGGGCTCCACCCCAGGAGAGTGCATCTCACAAGCCACTTTCCATGGGCCTCACTTGAGAGACAGATCTATACTAAACAGAGGTCTCCTACTGCTGGGGCAGAGGCAGGAAATGCTTGCTCAAAACTGACCTCAGATACGAAGCAGAGTTTGGCTAAGGAAGGATAACCAGCAGGAACGCTGAGAAAGCCCCAAGGTCCAGATGCAAAGGGGCAGCCTAGACCGCAGAACCCCGCCCCCTGACTCCCAGCCCAGCACCAAGCAACAGCAGGCTGCCCCTGGGTGAGGAGTAAGAGTGCAGGGAGGGCCCTCTGTGGTGCAGGTTGGTGGGGAAAGCAGAGCGTGCAGCACGGACACAGAGAAGCTCCCTGGCACCCAGCCCAGTCCCCAGCCCTGGGTACCTGCCGCCCACTGTTTAAAAGAATTCGAGGCCTGTGGTACCATGAAGGCAACGATCGCCACCACAAACCCAAGCTCAACTTCTGTCGAGACTGACCTGCTCACCCTGCCACCCATTCAGGGCCTGCCTCTCTGACTCCAGTTTCCCCAGGTCTTCAGTTCCCCAGTGATATACTTACCATGAGTTTTCCAGAACCCAGCCAATCCCGAGATTGAATTACTGCGGTTCCCACGTTGCCTGTAGGGGACCTCTCTGATACACCACTTACATGATACGGTTTCAGCAACTCTGCAAAGGCCCACTTGCCCTTTTAGAAGTGTCTACCTCACAGGCCTGTGGTAGCTGTAATTTTATCTAGAAGACCAACCCCCGCTTACTACTTTTGCCTTTATAAGTCCCCTATTTAACAGCAGTCATTCTGGAAAGGTAAAGCATTATATAATTACCAATCATTAACAACTCTGCAGGGAATTTATGATACTGCTTCCTTCCCTGAGATGCCTTCAGAGGGAAATGTACATGAGAAGCCAGGGCTATCAGTCCCGGCTGCACGACCCTGGCCGAGTCAACGGTCTGAGCTTCAGCCTCTTCATCTGTGAAGTGGTGATTCTAATCCTGACTGCACTGAGTTTTTGTGGAGATTACGTGGAACCATTCATCTCAAACTATTTTACAAACTGTAAATCAGATAAGTGGAAAAAAAGTGACTCAATCTGGATAAAAAGTAAAAAGTTTTGAAATGGGATAGCAAATTAAAAATTATAAACCTCATCTTTTCAATTCTTGATTAAAATTGAATTGGCTACTTCCTAAACTGGGTGATAAAATGCAGGGTGTATTTTCTCATTTATAATACATATGTATATATACACATGAATATATAAACACATATATACATGTCATATTATTTTGAATATTTGTATTTCATAATTCTAAAAAATTAAGTTGAGATCAGATTCCTTTTATGCCTTAAGTCTTAACAGTGTTTTTGAAAATGCAAAGCACTATATTAACCATGGCTTTGTTTAGAATACATGAGAGAATGTTAGCAAACATACAGATACTAGTTACTGCATATATGTAATTTAAATCGATTATCGAGTTCCTATCACTATCTGCTTAAGAAAGGTAAAGAGCTTTTCTTAAATGATTTAAGGTAATAATTTCAAAGATTGCTGACTTGTAACCTTAAGATTATGTTTGTGCAGAAAACTGTATTTCTTGAAAGTTATCAACTAGATTTGCTATAGGTTGATCTTATCAGCCTTATGAAGGTTAATCAAATATGACTTCAATGATCTAGTTCTACTTAAACTAACAACAATAATCACCTGCACAGACACTCAGAATTAAGAGTATAACTAAAGGCACTGCTCCCTGTAAAAAGCATAAGTATTCTTTTTAGGTGTAATAAAGTGACTAAGTCATTGTAGAATCCTGGTATTGACAGTCCATGGAACCAATCAGAGGAGTTCAAGCAGTTGGTCTTTCTTAGAACAGGCATAACTCATATGAAAATTTGGGGTGCTGGGGCATGTAACTGTCAAGGAAAAATAAGGGTAATGGCACGTTCTGGGACTAAAAGGAAATCTGAAAGGTGTCAAAGACAAGAGGAGAATAAGAAGCAGGACATAAAAGGAGATAGGAGAGAAGACAGGAGATAAAGACTGGAGGTGGAATACTCAACAGTAGAGTGCTTGAAAGTGAGAATTTGGAATATAAGGTCTGTCCGGAAAAAGTCCAGCCATTGTTTATAACGAGAACGATTTGTACAACATTGATGTAACCTGGCAGCCACGGAGAATGGGCTGGAATGCGTATGCATGAGCAATGCCAACATCACTGTACTAGTCAGTAGACACCTTGAGTGAGCATGTGTACTGTGTGGCCATCACATTAAAAATGAATAGAAAAAAATCTGCATCAAATTTGGCATGAACCTTAAAGTTCCTCCATGGAAACTATTTGGATGATTCGGAAGGTTGCAGCTAAGGGCAACTGGTAACTGGAAGCTTTCTCATGACAATGCACCCACTCAAGCATCATGTCTCATGCAGAGATTTTTTGGCAAAACATCAAATCACCCGGGTGACTCAGCCCCCTACAGCCCAGATTTGGTGCCCTGTGACTTCTGGCCTTCCCCAAAACTAAAATCACTCTTGAAAGGGAAGAGATTTCATACTGTCAATAAGATTCAGGAAAATACGATGGGGCAGCTGACAGCAAATGGGGGAACTCTGTGAGGTCCCAAGGTGCCTATTTTGAAGGGAACTGAGGCATCATTGTCCTGTGTACAATGTTTCTTGTATCTTGCAT